CGAAGGTACTGTAGTGAGCGGTGATCTGTCCGTACTGTCACGTCGGCGCCAGTCAGGTAACACCGCCAGACTTTGAACGCGTGCACGATCGCCAACATTTCGCGGTCGTGTATCGGGTAGTTGCGTTCGGGCGGGTGTAACTTGCGGGACTCGTACGCGATTGGCTGGAGGCCGTTCCCGAAGTCCTGCAACAGTACTGCTCCCACTGCGATATCACTCGCGTCGGTGACGAGCTCGAACGGACGGTGGGGATCTGCAATGTGAAGGACGGGCGGGGAGCACAAAATATTTTTGGGGGCCGAGAAGGCAGCTTGCTCTTTCTCCCCCCACGTGTACTCAACCACCTTCCTCAGCAGGTCGGTCAACGGGGCAGTCAGCTTCGCCATGTCGGGGACGAACCGGCGCACGTAGTTGACGAACCCCAGAAAACTCTATAACTCGGTCTGGTTGGTCGGCGCGTGCCACGCCTGAATCGTCGCAATTTTCTTCGGGTCGATTTCCACTCCCGCAGCTGAAATAACATGTCCCAAAAACTCCAGGCGGTCCTGTAAAAACTCACACTTAGATGCTTTGGTCAGTAGGCGGTTCTCACTCAGGATTTTTAAAACTGCTTCGATGTCTTGTAAGTGCTGTGCTCTGTCAGGGCTGTAAATCAGTATGTCGTCCAGATAAACGATGACGCACTTATCTAAAAGCGGGCGGAATGCTTCGTTCATGGTCATTTGGAAGGTGGCGGGGGCGTTGGTCAGTCCGAATGGCATGACTGTATATTCGAAGGATCCGTAGCGTGTTCGGAATGCGGTTTTAGGGCAGTCGGGTGGGTTGACGCGGATTTGGTGGTAGCCTCCCCGGAGGTCAATTTTCGAGAAAACCCGGGCTGTGCGCAGTTGATCGATCAGTTCGTCGGCTCGTGGGATGGGGTAGCGGGATTTTATGGTAACCCTGTTCAGTGCTCTGTAGTCGATACACATGCGAAAACCCCCGTCCTTTTTCGGTGTGAACAGTATGGGCGCTGCGAACGGCGACGAACTAGGGCGAATGAATTTTTTCTCGAGCAGGTAATCGAGCTGCTTCCTCAGTTCGTCTAGTTCGGGTTGGGTCAGTCGGAACTGTCGCTGTACTGTGGGCTGTGCCCCCGGTTCCAGTTCTATCCTGTGATCGTGCGGTCGCTGAGGTGGCAGTCCCGTCGGTAAGTCATCTGGAAAAATGTCACTGTACCGTGTTAACGGTGCTGCCAGATCACCCGGTACGTCGGTCAGCAGTTTCTGTAAATCTCCTCCCGTGTCTGCTGCCTCGGCTTCCCGAATGTCAACCGCGTACACGTCAGCTCCGGCCGCTACAGCGCGTTTCATCGTGATCGCATTGACACGCACCGACGAAGACTCAGGCGAGCCCCAGCGAGGTAAGGCGATGTGGTTACCGTTCACTCGCACGGTGCAGTCACCCGTCGTCCAGTCAATTCGCGGATTGTGTCGTCGCAGCCAATCACGCCCGAGTAAAATGTCGGTTCCGTCGAGGGTCGTTGCGAGCATTTCCTGGCTAAACGTGAAGTTACCCCCACATCGAATCCGGACTCGGCCTACGCGTTCCCGTATTGCCAGCGGCGTGCCGTCTACCAGTCGTGCGTCGATCTCAGGTAAACATCTGTCCAGTGGCAGTCGCAGTTTTCGTGCTGTAGCAGTGTTGATGAGGCTCCCCCGTCTACGAAGATCTTAACTAAGTCCGTCCCAATTTTCCCACTGAGCAGTATAGGGCTATCTACCGTGGTACCCTCCTTATTCGGCGGGGTGTGGTCGATTGCATGAACCGGCACAATAACTCGGTGAGGGTCGGTTGGGTCGGGCGAGCGGCGTGACCTGTCAGTAGAGGGCCCGTCTGCTACTGACTTCCAGCGTTTCCCTGCTGCTTGGTCTGTGTCTGCTGCTCAGCTTCCCCCTTTCCCTTAGCGTTTTCCGGGCATTCGCTCTTGCGATGTCCCGGCCGATTGCACGCAAAGCAGCGCCCTTTGAACGGTGCGGCAGCGGCATTTGCGGCGACGGCGCGTATCGTGGCGCTCTCGTTCGTCCCACGAGGCCGATGTCCCCAGTTGTTGTTTCCGTAGGACCCCGGTCTCGGTCGGCGAAAGAAGTCGAGCTTCTCCGCCATAGCGAGAATTTCCTGAAACTCAGTGACGCCGCGAAGCTGGATTTCCTGAGCGATGTCCTGCTTCAGGCCGCCGATGTAGCGGTCGATGCGTTCGCTCTCATGCATGTAGCCCACCTGCTCGCATAGTGCCAAGAATCCGCTCGTGTAATCCTGGACGGAACCGAGTTGGCGCCAAGTGCGGAGCTTCTGTCGCGCCGAGATCGAGGCCGCAATTGGCTCAAATCGAGCGCGCAGACCTCCGCACCACGCGTCCCACGTGCGATACTGGGGCACCTCCACGAAATACGACGGCGCCCAGGGTCCGGTTTGTCCTTCCCGTGTCGGTAGTGTCGCGTAGTCGGTCGGCTTCGTGACGATGACGCGCCACCAGTCCATGGCGGGTCCTCGCAGCAACGACACGGCGTATCGAATCTTCGCCGAGTCCTCCGAGACGTAGTTGGCGTCGAAGAAGACGTTCATCGTGAACAACCACGCCTGAACGGTAGGACCACCCCGTTGACTCGGGTCAAAGCATGGCGGGCGCTGCGGCTTGAGCGGCATCGGTGACGGCAGTCCCGAATCGTGGGTTGGTGCCGAAATCGTGACGCGAGGCTGACTTGGGGCCGCAGGCGTCGCTCTGGGGTGTGTCGTGCCGTGGTCGTCGTCTCCGTCGGGGCGGACGACGCCATCACTGGCCGCACTCGCGGGTTGCCCCACACTCCCGTGTTGTGATGTTGAGGGTGCAGGTTGAATCGGGGTGCCAGGTGCTTGAGATTGTGCCCTCATGAGGTCGTTTTGCAGTGATGAGCGTTCTGCGGTCAATGCCGCGATTTCCTCAGAGCTTTCGTGCAGCTGTCGCAGCAGATCATTCAAACGCTCCTGCGAGAGGGTGGTGACATCGATATGTTCGGCCATGACGAAGGGCGTCGGCTCGTCTTAGTCTAGGCGCAGTCGTGACTGCACGCGTTTACGAGAGAACGCGAGGGCAGCGGCTCCTAGGGGCTAAGGTGCGTAGGTCCCTTCGAGTGAAAAATCAAAAGTTGATTTCCTGGTGTGCGGAAAAATGCGCGGTCCGAAAAGAAAGGGGCTCGGATACCAAGTGTTACGGGTGCAATGAATCGAGGTAACGAGAATTGCACTAAGGTGTTCAACGAGTACAAAATGTGAGCGAAGGCATGAGCGAACATTTATACGCGAATCATGCAAAACGGTAACGCGGTGCGTGCGAGCGTGCTAGTGCTACGCTGGAGCGAGGTTCGGGCTAGTCCCGAAGCGTAGGCCGATACGGCCATGCCAGCAGTGCGAGGTTTGGCAAAACAGTGCGCGCGAAGTAGGCGAAGTTCCGTTAGTAGTAACGGGCGAACAATCGGCTGTTGTTGTACGCGATGTAGTCAGCTCCGTAAGGAATGCCGAGAAAATTCATTACAATAGTATATATAACTCTGTATCTGTATAAGTTTCAATGAAAGTTAAGTTTTATATTAAATGTAGCGAGACCATTTACAAGATTATATTTGATTTTATATTTTTAAAATTTACCTAAATTTTTCACAATTTCGTTTTTTACCAAAAATGGATACCCTGTAATTTGTACCCTTAGATGTATAATATACGGTGTCTTATCGATCACCTGTTTTAAAGAGATCAGCCATATCGGCGCATGGCACACAGGATGAAAGTTCATTGATGACTAGGCACACTACAGCAATTCCCATGGTTAGGTGTGGTGAGGTGGAAAGCTTCCCGCTTTTCCAGTCTGCCACGCCAGCCCTGGCGTATAGATCTCAAGCGTCTCCTCCTCATGAGAGCTCCTTGGATAATAGTCTGCCTTCGATTCCTACGTGGCGCAGCGGCACTGGAGGCAGAGGGGCATATGTGGTCCCGCTGCAGGACAGCGCATGGGCACGGTGGACTTTCAAATGTTGCTGTGGGTGAGGGAGAGGCGAGTTCACGCGACGCCTGAAACGAGAGGCGGGAGAAGGCCAAGGGTGTGTGATTCTTGCTGTGCCCTTACCACATCGATTACTGATTAGACAAATTCGTTGGCTCCTAGGGTTGTCCAGAGGTTGGAATTTCCAAACCCAGCCAGACCAAATCCATCTCAAACGAGATAAGACCAACCCGACCACATCAGACCATTTTCGGCTTCAATGCTGGTGGTTTCAGCCGCACTACATGCAACTCTGGTGTATTAGGCTTTTTGTTTGTCCAAGCCAAAACTATCCCAGAGTCCAGAAGTTGTGTGCTAGGGCTGTGCTAGTCTGCTTGCGTTTCGCAGCCGCATTGTTCAAAGCAGTCACTTCCTAGCATTGGCTCGTCCCTTTCAAATACCACTCGTGACATACTAAGGTCTAAACTCTAAATCAGAGGTAGCGTCGGTACAGACCTATCGAAGGTCACGTGACACTGGATCGTGAAAAGGCGTTTCTCACCAAAAACATCCGACCATTCCTCAGTTGAAACAGTGACCCGCTGAAATAACGGAACCAAGTCGATTTCCTATTGGCCGAAGTCTAAAGTAGGACTGAATGGCGTACCATTCTGTGCTCCTAGGAGCGAAGGCCTTTTCGATTTCCTCTGGAATCACAGCTCGATACCAGCCACTAAATAATGAAGTAGCTGTACGAGACTCCTGCTCCGGGCAAGCTCCTGGCTTGCGAATGGTCAAGGGAACCTCGTTTTTTGGATCATCTCCGAGACAAAAGGTCTCAGTTGTTTCAGGTATAGTACCCCGGCCTTTTGCTGATGTTGTCTGAAACGACGCGATCAATGAAATGAATGTGAATGTAAGGGTGTGCGCTATCCACTGACGAACGAGTCAATCTAATGAAGTGCCTAACGAACCTGGCATTGTTTTTTCCCTCACACCAGGAAGGATGAATGCTGCAGGTGGGAGATGCAGAGCAGCAGCGGATACCAGGCAGGAGACGGCAGCGGAGGATCCGGAAAGGGAGGAATTAAAGAAGTTTGAGAAGGCTCTGCTTGAAAAGAAGTCTAACGAGCTCGCGGATAGAATCGCCAGTGGAGAGTTCACAGTGGCTTCCAGAAGGTAACCACATAATAGCTGACTTGAGTTTACCAAAAAAAAACATTGACGTTATGATAGAAGATAACGACAATGCAGTTGACTTATTTTGGGTTTTGTAGCACCGGCGATCTAGTCGGCAACGGGGAGTTAACGCTAGCATTGAAAAAGCAACCGGCATGCCAGGTGGCTGGTCCTTCTGTTCTGAACGGGCTTGCCGAGTTCGCGCTGAGGGAGGCACCTCAGGAACTTAATGGAACTTAACGGACGAGCCTGCGTAGTTCGCTCAGATAAAATAAGCGCGATGCTACCTCTTTTTTTAGCTTGCTCTTCTTCCTCTCTGTCCAGTCCATCCCCGTCTTCCTATGTACGCTAACGCTTCCTTTCCACGGTCACCGTACCCCTCGCCTAATTGCAGAGTGGATCGGTTCGGCTGGTTGCGTCGATGCTTGGCGAACTCGGGCCCGGCAGGAAGGCCGTTGGCCATGTTTATGGCTACCATGGAACGCAGATGGCGGGCGATAGTGAACGCTAGCATGCCGGAAGCTCGCGGAGACATACGCGCTATAATCGGGCAGCCGTTTTTTGTCCCGCTTTTCAGCCTTTACCTTGTCTACGGCGGGGTGTTTCGCCTGTCATTTGGACCAAAGGTTGGTTTCCTTGCCTGTGATCTTGGATATCGTTTCTGTGTGGATGAGGAATCCGGTATGGTCTGCTGGTTCGCTTATAATTGCCTGATCACTGCTCCTTTGTGGTCGTTTTCCTGTTTTGCAGAGGTTTGTGATTGTATCGGATCCTGTTGTGGCGAAGCACATTCTGCGGGACAACGCTAAGTCGTACTCTAAGGTAAGCACTTGTTGCAATGTTCACTTCCTCCGGCCCTGACGTAAATTTTTTCCTTTGTATCCCATAGGTGCATGAGGAGAAATTCGGGCATTTTGAGGCGTAACTTTCGTTTGCTGGGCCACTTTGTGTGCGGCACAGAGATCCTATTTGAACTATTATTTTAAGCCTCTAAAAACAGGAACATTCTCACTCACTGTTAATGGCTCCTCATCTATTCTCTGGGGCAATTTGTGTGGGGCGCAGGGGATTCTGTCTGAGATTCTCGACTTCGTGATGGGACAAGGCCTCATTCCCGCTGATGGCGAGGTGTGGCTCACTCGACGCCGCACCGTTGCCCCTGCGCTGCACAGAAAGGTGAGAGAACTGTACGGGAAGGTAACCAAAAAGACTGCACAGAAAGTTAAGGGAAGGGCACAGAAAAGTAAAGCAACTGCACAGAAAGGTGTGAAGAACGTGTTAGATATGCATAGAAGGGTAACTTGCACAGAAAGGCTTGAAATGTACACAGCAAGGAAGGGAATTTGCACTAAATGTCTACGCGCCCATCTTTCCACTCTCCTCCCCTCCCCATGTTAATCTCCGCCCTCCCCACTTCACCCCACCCTCTCCTTCCCCTTCCCTCTCCCCCAGTACGTGAGCGCCATGGTGTCGCTGTGTGGCGAGTGCTCGCAGCGGCTGTGCGACAAGCTGGTGAGAGCAGCAGACAAGGGGCAGGTGGTGGAAATGGAATCACCACCGCTCCCAACTCCCCACATTTCCTCCTGCATCTCTCCCAACCTCCCGTTTTCCCTCCCCCAGTACGTGAGCGCCATGGTGTCGTTATTCGGTGAGTGCTCGCAGCGCCTGTGCGACAAGCTGGAGAGAGCAGCAGACAAGGGGCACGTGGTGGAGATGGAGTCCCTCTTCTCACGCATGACCCTGGATGTGATCGGCAAGGCCGTGTTCAACTACGAGTTCAACTCGCTCCAAAAAGACACGGGGATCGTGGAGGTGAGCCGCGTGTGCATGTACAAGTGCCAGAGAGGCATAGACTTCTAAGCGACTCAAAAGTCACCTCGTGGTGTACATGCATGTACTCGGGCCAGAGAGGCAGAGACGTGGGGCCCTGAAAACCGTGAGTTTGAAGCGAAGAGGCAGAGTTGTGGTTTGGTTTGTTCTTTTCTTGCATCACCCTCCCTTTTTCCCCTCCTTGCCCCCCCCCCCCACCATCTCCATCCAGGCGGTGTACGTGACTCTAAGGGAGGCGGAGGTGCGGAGCACGTCGCTGTTCCCCTACTGGAAGATCCCCCCCCTGCGAGTGGTCATGCCCAGCCAGCGCAAGGTCTCAGACGCCCTCACGCTCATCAACGGCACTCTCAACGCACTCATTGCCGAATGCAAGGTGAGTAACTTTCTGCAGGAGCAGCAGACACTGTAACCCAGTAGCTGCGTCGCATGCAGCGAGTGGTGGTGCCCAGCCAGCGGAAAGTCTCAGACGCCCTCACGCTCATCAACGGCACTCTCAACGCACTCATCGCCGAATGCAAGGTGGGTAGGTGGATGCAAGGCGAGCAGCAGGCCTATGGTAAGGCCGTGGATGCATTGCATGCTCATACTTCCGCTCACGCTCATGCTCATGCACATGCACAATGCTGCGAGTGGTCATGCCCAGCCAGCGCAAGGTGTCAGACGCCCTCATCAATGGCACATTGAATGCGCGCATTGCTGAATGAAGGTGAGAGAACAGGTCTTTGTCCGAAGCAGCAGGCCTGTGATTAGGCCTGCATTGCATGCTCATGCTCATGCGGATTCTGATTCTGATGCTGATGCTGATGCTGATGCTGATGCTGATTTTGATGATGATGATGATGATGATGATGATGATGATGATGATGATGATGATGATGATGATGATGATGATGATGATGATGATGATGATGCTGATGCTGATGCTGATGCTGATGCTGATGCTGATGCTGATGCTGATGCTGATGCTGATGCTGATGCTGATGCTGATGCTGATGCTGATGCTGATGCTGATGCTGATGCTGATTCTAATTCTGATTCTGATTCTGATTCTGATTCTGATGCTGATGCTGATGGTGATTTTAATTCTGATTCTGATTTTGATGCTGATGCTGATTTTGATGCTGATGCTGATTCTGATTCTGATGCTGATGCTGATGGTGATTTTGATTTTGATTCTGATTCTGATGCTGATTTTGATTTTGATTCTGATGCTGAAGCTGATGCTGATGCTGATGCTGATTCGGATGCTAATTCTGATGCTGATGCTGATTCTGATTCTGATGCTGATGCTGATGCTTATTCTGATGCTGATGCTGATGTTGATTCTGACTCTGATGCTGATTCTGATCCTGATCCTGATCCTGATCCTGATCCTGAGGCTGATGCTGATGCTGATGCTGATGTTGATGCCGATGCGGATTCTGATTCTGATGCTGATGCTGATTCTGATTCTGATGCTGATGCTGATGCTGATTCTGATTCTGATGCTGATGCTGATGCTGATGTTGATTCTGATTCTGATTCTGATGCTGATCCTGATGCTGATGCTGATGCCGATTCTGATTCTGATTCTGATGCTGATGCTGATTCATTCATGTGTCCTCTCATTCCCCTCCTCTCCTCCCTCTCCTCTTCTCCCTGCTCCCTGTCTATGCATGAGCAGCAAATGGTGGAAGCAGAGGAGGAGGAGTTTTTCGAGGAGTATTTGAACAAGGAGGACCCCAGCATCCTGCATTTCCTGGTTGCTTCCGGGGATGACGTCACGAGCAAGCAGCTGAGGGACGACCTGATGACGATGCTCATCGCGGGGCACGAGACGTCTGCTGCTGTGCTCACATGGGCGTTTTATCTACTAGCTCAGGTGAGTGAGTGTGAGAGGGTGATGTAGGCCCAGCATGGTTAGAGCAATCAGTTAAGGCAGCTGTGGGTTGTTGTGGTAACTGTGGTGATTGTGGGACATGAGAGATCAGCTGTGGAGCTCACATCACATGGGTGTTCCATCGCCTAGCGCAGGTCGGTGTGAAATGGATATGTAAGGCCCATGTGGTCAGGGTAAGCAGCTGATGGTTGTTTTGGTGACCCTATGGTGACTGGGGAAGCTGCAGGCGGAGGTCAATTCAGTCCTCCGCCCCTGTCAACTCTCCCTTGTGCAGATCCCAGCAGCCATGACCGAGCTCCAGGCGGAGGTGGACTCAGTGCTGGGGGACAGGCAGCCTATCACCTCCTGACAACTCCCGCCCCGCCCATCCTCTCCCTCCCTTGTGTGACCACAGAACCCTTCAGCCATGGCAAAGCTCCAGGCAGAGGTGGACTCAGCCCTGGGCGACAGGCAGAGGTGGACTCAGCCCTGGGCGACAGGCAGAGGTGGACTCAGCCCTGGGCGACAGGCAGAGGTGGACTCAGCCCTGGGCGACAGGCAGAGGTGGACTCAGCCCTGGGCGACAGGCAGAGGTGGACTCAGCCCTGGGCGACAGGCAGAGGTGGACTCAGCCCTGGGCGACAGGCAGAGGTGGACTCAGCCCTGGGCGACAGACAGAGGTGGACTCAGCCCTGGGCGACAGGCAGAGGTGGACTCAGACCTGGGCGACAGGCAGAGGTGGACTCAGCCCTGGGCGACAGGCAGAGGTGGACTCAGCCCTGGGCGACAGGCAGAGGTGGACTCAGCCCTGGGCGACAGGCAGAGGTGGACTCAGCCCTGGGCGACAGGCAGCCCAGCATCGAGGATTTCAAAGAGCTCACAGCCCCTGACTCATCCCCTACCCTGTCAACCTGCTCTTTTGCAGAATCCTTCAGCAATGGCGAAACTGCAAGCAGAGGTGGACGCAGTGCTGGGCGACAGGCAGCCCAGCATCGAGGACTTCAAGAAGCTGCGCTTCACCACGAGGGTGATCAACGAGGCCATGCGCCTCTACCCCCAGCCACCCGTGCTCATCAGACGTGCTCTTGAAGACGATGTGTTGGGAGGATACCCCATCAAGGAGTGAGTCTGACTATAGATGGCCTTTGATTGCTGCTCTATGGTTCACCACGAGGGTGATCAGCGAGGCCTTGCGCCTCTATCCCCCAGCCGCCCGTGCTCATTCGGCGGGCGCTAGAAGACGATGTGCTGGGAGGATACCCCATAAAGGAGTGAGTTTTTTTCTAATTCATTGGGGCGGTCCCAAGGGCCAAGTTAAGCTGTGATGAGGTTCAAGTCCTTCCCCATGCTGTCCTCCCGTGCTCTCTCGTCCCTTCCTTCCATTCCTCACCCCACTTCCCACTCCCTCTTCCCTCTCCTCTCGTGTAGAGAGGTCATTTTTGAGACGTCTCAAAAGTTTCTTCCATTCCTCACCCCACTTCCCACTCCCTCTTCCCTCTCTTCTCGTGTAGAGAGGTCATTTTTGAGACGTCTCAAAAGTTTCTTCCATTCCTCACCCCACTTCCCACTCCCTCTTCCCTCTCCCCTCGTCCCTCTCTCCATTCGATCAGTGGTCAGGGCATTTTCATCTCCGTGTAGAACCTCCATCACAGCTCCAAGCTCTGGCAGGGCCCGCCCTTCCAACACGTCCTTCTTTGCCCTTCCACTCCCCTCTCCCCGCTCTCCTCTCCCTTCCCTCCTACCCCACCATCACCACAGACATTTTCATCTCGGTGAGGAACCTCCATCACCTCCCCAAGCTCTGGCAGGACGCAGAGGCCTTCCCCCACTCCTGCTCACTCCTCTCATACTGTCCCCCTTACTTACCACCACCAGGGGTCAGGACATTTTCATCTCCGTGTGGAACCTCCACCACAGCCCCGGGCTCTGGCAGGATGCAGAGGCCTTCAAACATTCTCCCCTGCTCACTCTCCTTGCTCGCATGGTTACTCTCCTTGTTCGCATGGTTACTCTCCTTGCTCGCATGGTTACTCTCCTTGCTCTTATTCTCCCCACCACCACCAGGGGTCAGGACATATTCATCTCCGTGTGGAACCTCCACCACAGCCCCGAGCTCTGGCAGGACGCAGAGGCCTTCCGGCCCGAGAGGTGGCCGCTTGACGGGCCCGACCCCACCGAAGTCACCGAGAACTTCAGGTGAGGCGCGTACCTTGGTGCTAGGAGCACTTCTTTAGCATGATGCAGAGGATTTCACGCAAGTTTCATCATTAGAGGTGGCCGCTTGACGGGCCCGACCCCACCGAGGTCACCGAGAACGTCAGGTGGGGCCATTGGGTGGTTCCTAGCAATAAATGCAAATGGAAAGTTGTGCAAGCTAGAGTGACAATAGGTGGCTGCTTGACGGCCCAGACCCCCACCGAGGTCACAGAGAAATTCAGGTGAGTTTTCTCTGTCCGCACAACCCTGTTTCGGCAGATACAAGGGACCCTAAAACTGTCCGCACAACCCCGTTATTGATCCCATCAGGTACCTTTCTTTTGGCGGTGGCCAGCGCAAGTACATAGGGGAAGTGTTTGGCACGTTCGAAGTCACCACCCCTCACCTCCCCCTCCATCTTCCCCCTCATCTCACAGCTACCTTCCGTTTGGCGGGGGTCAGCGCAAGTGCATAGGAGACGTGTTTGCCACATTTGAAGTCACCACAGCTGTGGCTATGCTGGCCCGGCGGTTCGACTTCAACCTTGCCCCTGGCGCTGAGGAAGTGAGTGATTGGGAGCAGATTCAAGTTAATGATTGAATGTGAGGGGAGAGAGGCGAGTGGCACAGCAGTGGTCATGCTGGCCCGGCGCTTCGACTTCAGCTTTGCACCTGGTGCTGAGTTGAGTGATTTAAAACAGATTCAAGTTAATGAGAGTATGTGAGAGCATGTGATGTGAAGAACCCGGCAAGGTGAGCACGTGATGTGTAGAGCTTGGGCAACGTGAGCATGAAGGCTGGTAACCTAGTCCGGCTGTGGCAATGCTGGCCCGACTGTCCGACTTCTGCCTGGCCCCTGTGCTGAAGAGGCGAGGGATTGAGAAGAAAGTCAAGTATGTGTGCACTCCTCGCTTCACCCTGGCACCGGTCCCAGAATTTGCAGACACATCGCTTCAAGCACCCTCTTCCCCCCTCCTTGCCTCCACCATCAACCCCATCCCCTGTCCCTGCTGTGCTGTTGATGTGTCAGGTGGGCATGACAACGGGAGCCACCATCCACACCACCAATGGCCTTCTCATGACTGTCTCCCGCAGAACCCCCCCACCTGCTCAGCCTGTGCCCTCCAATGGTGCTGCTGCTGCTGCTGTTGCTTCAGAAGCTGCTGCTGCTGGTGCTGCTGTTCCCGAGGTTCCTGCTGTGGTCGCGACCAATGGTGACATGCCAGGCGGGGCAGTGGCAGCATGAGGTGCAAGGTGCTGCTGAGAGCACTACGGCAGCCAAAGTCACTGTTTACAACAATTGTATGGGGAGGGAACTCGTGTACTGCTCATAGCAAACACAGTACATTTATTGTGCTGTGGTGCTTTGCATATTCTTTGCTTGAATGATTACTCAACAAGCACTCTTCCTTCATTGCATAAATTGCTGTAGTTCAGGTTAACTGTAGATGTTGGGTGTTCCACTATGTTAGAGTGAACAAGGCTCGATGTCTACGTCGGAAGGGTTGCGTAGAGTTGTTTCTAGTGGTATAAGAAACATATGAAATAACATTATGTATTATACTAATGGAGAAGACATACCGTATTAGAGAAAAGTATAATAAAGTACATGTTTGTACGCTTGTCTAGTATTAAAAGGTAACGATTCGGACAGTGATGATATATTTTTTATAATAAACAATATTTCTTAGCTCCATCTTACTATACTGCACCATCCAATCACTATAGTGGGTTCGTTATTTTCAGCTGTAGTTTGATAACGTAGTTATGCGTGTGTTTTACGTGACACAGCTTTCAAATTAGTATCTTGCTCATGTTTCTACAGATAGACCTAAATGAATTATTGTCCATGCCAAGTTGTTTATTCTGCCCTAACAATACAATCACCTTAACAATATGAATCGCATCTGCCCCATACATTACACACTATTCTAACGAGAAACAACTGTATTTTTTCCTTTCACACTTCTCAGCTCCAATTTGACGCTCCTCTCTTCTTGGTTCTTGGTTCTTAATTCTTGGTCAGTTCTTGGTTCTTGGTTCTTGTGACTACCTAGCTATCCCGTTTTCTCCAATCCCGGTATCCTCTCCCTCCCATCCCGCCAGCGCCTCCCCCTTCTCCCAACCGCCATCGCCTCTCCCTCCCATCCCGCCATGGCCTTTCATGTCAGTAGAGCTACACTGTGAGATCCCCGATCGATCCTAGGGGGGGTTACATGTGCGTTTGCCTGGGGGGTTATGGGCGTACTGACCCGTTACTGAACAAAAAGCCCTCTTATCCCAATGGTCTAGTGGTTGGGATTCTGACATGGTATCAGAGCGGTCTCGGGTTCGAATCCCGGTGTATGCACATGTTGGCCGTTGCCACTGTGCTCAGTCTTGGGCCTCCCAGTGTAGGGGGGTGTCGGTAGAGTTACAGTGTGAGATCGCCGATCGATCCTAGGGGGGTTACAGGCGCGTTTGCCTCGGGGGTTATGAGCGCACTGACCCGCTACTGAAAAAAAAGCCCTTTTATCCCAATGGTCTAGTGGTTGGGATTCTGACATCTCCCTCCCGCCCCGTCATAGCCGCTCCCTTCCTCCTCGCCGTCGCCTCTCCCTCCCTTCCCGTCGTCGCCTCTGGTGGGTGCACGAGCGTGAGGGCATGTTGTTGAACGACCTCGCGTTGTTTTCACCGTTGTCTCAGGTGCGTAGACGTTTCTCGGACCTTTTTACCTCCCTCCTTTGTTTAGGTTTTCTACTTTCTTCGTGAGTTCTCTATGCCAAGATTTCTTAGCATTACACTCCCATTGCACTCCTCTTTGTTCGCCTACTGCGCTGGCGCCTAGCGCGCTGGCGCCTAACGCGCTGGCGCCTAGCGCGTTGGCGCCTAGCGCGCTGGCGTCTAACGCCCTGACGCCTAGAGCGCTAGCGCCTAGCGCGCTGGCACCTAGCGCGCTGGCGCCTAGCGCCTGGCGCCTTGTGCTCTGGCGTCTAGCGCGCTGGCGCCTAGCGCGCTGGTGCCTATCGCGCTGGTGCCTAGCGCGCTGGCGCCTAGCGCGCTCGCACCTAAAGCGCTGGCGCCTTTGAGGAGAAACGAGAATGAATGACTAAGGAATGAAAGTGGTACAAATATGCAACTCTAGAAATGTGTACCCCATATAGGCTACCTCACTATAGCCTACACAACATTATAATTTGACACACCCCCATAGGCAAAGTGGGGGAGAACAAGGGGTCACAAGACCATTCAAGCAAAGCAAAGCAAAGCTCAGGGTGGATCACAAAGTCACCACACATTCCGAGCACAAGTTCAAGGCCAGAAGGCCATTTCACATGCAGGAGCACATATATATATAAAAGGCTAAACATGTCAAATTACAATATTGTGTAGGCTGTAGTGGGGTAGCCCATATGGGGTACACATTGCTAGGGTTGCATATTTGTATCACTTCCATTCATAGTTCATTTCATTCTCGTTCTACTTTCCTCATGGTATCGAGCAGGTTCCCCCGTGGGAACTGTGCCTAGGACCCACCACATCGAGATTTTTTTTCCTGCCCGAAGCGCGCTCCGCCCAAGTCGCGCTCCGGGCTCTCACCCCGTCGAGCCGCCCTAGCGGCCCCTATGCCCTAGCGGCCCCCTCCCCTAGCGGCCCCGCCGCTCGTAAGTGCGGCCTCGCCGCTCGTTAGTGGGGCCCCGCCGCCCGCATTGCAGCCCCGTCGCCCGTCTTCGCAGCCCCGCCGCCCGTCACTGCAGCCCCGCCCTCCTCAGCGGCCCCGCCGCCCGTTCCTGCGGCCCCGACGCTCGTTAGTGCGGCCCCGCCACCTGCATTGCGGCCCCCCCGCCCGTCTTCGCAGCCCCGCCGCCCGTCACTGCGGCCCCGCCGCCCTATTCAGCGGCCCCGCCGCCCTTCTGCTCAGCGGCCCCGCCGCCCTACTCAGCGACCCCGCCACCCTTCTATAGCGGCCCCGCCGCCCTACTCAGCGGCCCCGCCGCTCTTCTACAATGGCCCCGCCGCCCTAATCAGCGGCCCCGCCGCCCTTCTCCTGCGGCCCCGCCGCCCTACTCAGCGGCCCCGCTGCCCTTCTCCTGCGGCCCCGCCGCCCTACTCCGCGGCCCGCCGCCCTGCTCCTACGGCCCCGCCGCCCTACTCAGCGGCCCCGCCGCCCTGCCCCTGCGGCCCCGGTGCTCTACTCAGCGGCCCCGCCGCCCGTCTACTGCGGCCCCGCCGCCCTTCTCAGCGGCCCCGCCGCTCTCAACTCCTCCAGCGCCGCCCAAGCCGCCCGAGCCGCCTCGCCCAGCCGAGCCGCCGAAAGCCGCGCCGCCCTGCAGCAGCACAACCGAGCAGCCCAGCAGCAAAGCAGCTGAGCCGCCCCGCCACCGAGCCGCCCTGCCGCCGAGCCGCACTGCAGCCGAGCCACCGTGCACCCGAGCCGCCCAGAAGACGAGCCACCGTGCAGCGCAGCCGCCGAGCCGCCCTACACCCGAGCCGACCGAGCAGCCCTGTCCGGTAAGCACAGCCCCTCTGTCACTGCACTGCCCTTCCCCTACTGCTTGCACTACTGGTCTACTGTTGTCATGGCTTCCCCTAGTGTCCTCGCCTTTGACGCTGAGGGTCGAGCCATTGACTTTGAGGTCTGGGTCGACGACCTGCAGCTGTTCTTACAGTGCGATAGGGCGGACGGTCTCTCTCTCTTTGACCTCACCTCTAGCGCCTCTCCTGCCCCTGCTGCTGATGCTGACCCCACTGTTCGCTCCCAGTGGGCCACACGCGATGCTGCTGCACGTCTTGCTGTGCGTCGCCACCTGCCTACCACTGAGCGCGCGCACTTCAGTCAGTAGAGCTCAGACCTTGTACGACGCTGTAGTTGCGCGCTACTCTTCCCCTGCCATTGCTGCACTGAGCCGCCTCATGCTACCGTACCTCTTCCCTGACCTTGCTGCCTTTCCCACAGTCGCCGACCTCATTACGCACCTCCGCACTAGTGACACTCGCTACCGCGCCGCGCTTCCTGCTGAGTTCTGCGCCAAGAACCCCCCCCCCCTTGTACATCACTGTCTATTACATAGTCACCCGCCTCCCTGACTCCCTTCGCGTAGTCAGGGACCACTTCCTCTCAGTCTGTTCCACCACTCTCACTGTTGACCTCCTAGAGAAGGCCCTCCTAGCAGCGAAGAAGAGCATAGTCGCTATAGGAGCCTCTCGTGGTGACCCTCGCACCCCCATCTTTGAGGGGTGTTCCCCTTCCCCCTTGTTGCCCTCTGTTGCCTCTGCAGCTGCGGCCGACCTACTTGGTCTTGAGTCGGTCGGTGCGGCGTCTGCCCCTATCGAGAGACGCCGCTCTGGCAAGAGCAAGGGAGGCAAGGGCGCGGGTGGAGCTAGCGGGGGTGGTGAAGGTGGCGGTGGAGGCGGCGGAGGGAGTGGGGGTGGCGGTGGGAGTGGTGGTGGTGGTGGAGGTGGTGGTGGCGGTAGCGGAGGCGGAGGCGGCGGCGGC